ATGAATTAGGGTTTACACGTGATCCTTGGAATTCTACACTATAAGTATGTTCCCTTAGCTCCAAAATCGACACAGAAGTGATTCCTCGAAGAAGCTAGCTGATTTTGGTGTCTCCAAAACCTCTCTCATATTCTTCTAATTGTTCTTGGTATTTGTGACTTGATTGAGGCATGACACTTGAGATGCTAAGCTCTTATAAGGCCAAGAACTACAAGCTACAAATAAGAGGTATTCTTCTAACTAGTTTTTTTTATCTTGTATATCTCAAATTGCAAGCTAGTTAGGGTATATGCTTCGGAAAATGAAATTGCATGTATAATTAGAGAAAACTTAGATCCAAAGCATCTAGGGTTGTATGTGCACCATGGGAGTGTTATAGTACATAAAACCCATCAGACACTACATCTGTAACACATCCTCTTGTTAAATGTAGACTCATTGGCATAATCCCTAGTCTTTCCACACTTGTAACAAGTCACCTCTCTGCCATATTTTCCACAATGTTTCTTTTTGCACTTCTCACACCATTTTTCTTTACCTCTTCCTCTACGGACTTTGAGAACATGTTCTTGTTGGACTTTGAAGATCCCTCAATTTTCCTTTTCTTGCCAACTTCAACCTTGTTGGCGGTCCTGTCGTTGATCATTTCTTCAACAGACTTAGCAACCCATATGGTTGCCTCAACAGTAGGTGTCTGACGTACTGGCACAGTAGGTTTGTCCTTATTTTGTTGAAGTAGACGCCTAGTCTATTCCATCTGACGATCCAACGTCATATGCATCATTGCTTGTACTCATGCCATTGTTATTGGATCAGGTGCAACTGCTACTTCTGGTGCACGCCCAATCACTTGTGGCTCAGCCTGCGGGTTACCGCTTCCCAATCCCCTTTGAGTTCTCACCATATCGATCTATACACCAAATCAGACGTTCGGTGTGCAGTCACGAGATTTAAGATATGGAAAGCTTTATTTACGATAGAAATATAAATCTCCTTATTACTGCGAAAAGTTACATGACAGTTCTAATACCGTAATTAAACGTTTAGAAATCTGAACACATAAAATTTCCAGATCAGGTCAGCATCAGACCATAGATCTGATCAAACGATATCATCATAAAGCATATAAGGCATCTTACAACATAACTCATTTAGCACATAAAAGCAATTTAGGCATCTTCCTTAAATATGCTAGTGCTTGTGTCTATTAAGGTGTACTACCTAAAATATATTAGACACTCTTCTCACGATCATCGCTTAGAATTCTAAGTTTAATTCTAGAAATTTCCTACAAATTTCTAGTTCTCTTAAACTAATGCTCTGATACCAACTGTGACATCCACAAATCCACGGTCATTTTAAAAATTTTATTTATCCTTATTTAAAAACCAAAGTAGCCATTTTAGAAAGTAGTATTGCGGAATTTGTTCCTAGAAAAACATGATAATAATATTATCAAATCATTTCCGAAGAAATGTATTTTTTTTATATTAAAACTTTGGGATGTCATTGTATTTACAGAAAAATAAGTATAAACAGACCTTACATTCATTTATATTAATGATTTACAAAGGGACAATGAATCACTTATATTAGCACCAACATCTAATCAGAGTTTGACATTGTCTTTGGAAAACACTCTTTAATTGTTATTCGGAGTTAAACTTGCAATTATAGTTAGCAACTTATCCAAGTGGGAGATTGTTGGATTAAGGTGTCTAAGGTCCTAGCTAAATTGGTATAATGTTGAAAAATAAAAGTAAAGTCCTTCTAGGGTTGCCCCCATTACCAAGAATTAACTTAGATTGATTTAAGGAGAGAGAGATATGATTTATTAATATATTATATGATTGATATATATTAATCAGAAGTATCAATAAATTAATTCAGAATTAATCATAATTAATTTAAAAATTATTATGGGTTAATTAGAATTAACTAAAGATATAAATTATAAAAATTGTTATTATAATCTGGTTTGATGGGCCGCATAGGGTTGTTGGATTACAGAAACATAAGCATAAACATACCTTACATTCATTTACAACTCCCCGTGTTCACACCGGACGCAGCCTATAAATAGAGGCGAGGATCACCCCAAAAACTCACATCTTTCCCATTCTTTCTCTCTCAAACACCCCTCTTAGCCCCTCTCATTCCCTAGCACTTCCTAAGTGATAGAGGCGAGTCGCGGAGCGCCAGAAGGCTCCACGAAGAAGAGTTTAACATTGTCTTGGTTAATATTATTTATTCTAAATAATCTTATATTAAAAAGTCATTTTGATGCTTACTGTCTCCAAATTGACTAGCCCGAATCTACGGACGTTACAAACGACGTCATCACAAATCGGAAATCAGTAAATAGAATCGTGGACATTAAGATTTATTCAAATCCATGTATTGTGTGCATATGATGTCAGGAAGAAGAAAGGGATAGTGAATCACTTATATTAGCACCAACATCTAATCAGAGTTTGACATTGTCTTTGGAAAACACTCTTTAATTGTTATTCGGAGTTAAACTTGCAATTATAGTTAGCGACTTATCCAAGTGGGAGATTGTTGGATTAAGGTATCTAAGGTCCTAGCTAAATTGGTATAATGTTGAAAAATAAAAGTAAAGTCCTTCTAGGGTTGCCCCCATTACCAAGAATTAACTTAGATTGATTTAAGGAGAGAGATATATGATTTATTAATATATTATATGATTGATATATATTAATAAGAAGTATCAATAAATTAATTCAGAATTAATCATAATTAATTTAAAACTAATTATGGGTTAATTAGAATTAACTAAAGGTATAAAGGTTGAATTGTAATTGTTCGATAGTTGAACAATAAAGAGAATATAGAATCCACCATACATAGCCGGTTTTTTGAAGCCTCATGTTAGGGTTCTGGAAGCCTCTATTTGATAACCAGGAAACTAGATAATTACACGATTTGAAATATTAATATTATATGTTCAAATTTAGCGTTTCTAGGGTTTCTAAACAGCTATATATAGAGTCTTAATCCTTACAATTTTCGGCTATGCTTTCTTAAGAACTAGATCCAAAATTATACCTTTCTCCCCTCTCTCCTCTCAATCTTTAAGTTTCTTGCGTTGTTGGTATGAAACATTAGAGGCTTTGCACATTCTTGGATTTAGGTTTTCCAAAGAGACAATAAGACTTTGATTTGCTTGTTGGCTTTACAAAAGGTATGTATTCTAAACATGAATTTCGAAATTCGTAGGGTTTAGTTGTGTTCTTCATAGTATGTTGCTATGAGATGTGAAAGAGACATAGAACCTTTAGGTTGCGTCTACCCTTAAGTATATAAGTGAAATTCAGCATGTACATTCTGTTTGTAAACTAAATACCCCAACAGATGTACCAACCTATTATTTTTCCTTTTCTATGATGACAATATGCGATGAAAGAATTAATTAGTAGTTATTGGTGACTCCACATTATTTCCCTTAGACGAAACTCTACTCATCAGATAGTCAACTTTCGACCTTAGATCCTCATTTATTCTTCTTTATTCCTCTAGGCTTTACTGACGGGAAGCTATTTTTTCTTTTGATGAGGATCTGGCTGGAGGGGTATGCCAATATCAGGTTCTGTGCCAACCCCTTTTACAAATCTACCATATTCTTTTCCAAATACCAATAATTGATCAATCTGCCTCTTATGTGGTAACAATTGGTGATTTTTTCATAGGGACTTTTGGAATTTTTGTTTTCAATTTCTCTTTTAGACCTGATAATTATCCACTTAATTATATTAAGGAAGAACGAGACTTGGCAATCGACATACATGGTATTTCAGAGGACATATGGTGAATTTCTCATGGCCCACAACATGTCGTAATGAAATATGGTGTATATCACATAAATGACTACCTATTTCGTATAAAATCCCGTGAAGGTATAGTTACCCAACATAATGGGGTTTGCGTAGAGTCGACTGACACTCACATCTCTAGAAAAGAAGAAGTATCCTATGAAAACACATTTTATTATGGTGTTCTACAAGATATATGGGTTCTAGATTATCATATAAGAAAAATTCTTATGTTCAAGTGTGACTGAGTTCATAATAAAAAAGGGATTAAAAAATATCATCTTAGTTACACGTTGGTAGAACTAGATACATCAGGGCATAAGGACGATCAGCTCATACTTGCCTCAAAAGCACAACAAGTATTCTATGAGAGAGAGTTAAAGGATAATAAAAAATCAATTGTGATCATGACACCTTCACAAATTACAGAGATGCATATGAAAGCGATGATGAGGAATAGAATATAATAGTTTTACCACACAAAGATATATATATATATATATATATATATATATATATATATATATATATATATATATACACACACTAAGTTTACCGGGGTCTGTTTTTGTATACCCAATATTTTTATTAATAATTATTTTGATATTTTTTTGTTTTTGTTAATATTACATGTTTGGCAAATTTTTCTACTTCTATCCTTTCTTTCCCTTTTTATGCATGTGGAGTTGATCATATTTATTTATAATATGAGGTGCATGAGAATAAATATAAATTTAATGTGATGAATAATTTGAATAACCAAAAAATATTTATAGCAATGTTGATATATATTTTACAACTTGTAGCTAGTGACAAATCGTGAATATTAAATCCAATGCTTTTAAAACCTATTCAAACCAGGAATCAGATCGGTACGGACGTTTTCTTAAAAATTGGGATGAGCGGGTATGATAGATTCGTTAAAAAAATGTTGGAACCGGTTTTTTGGACTTTGGATAAGTAAAAAATACATTTATTTTATTTGTAGTAACAACCAACATAATGCCTGAGAATGACCACCACAATTAAATGGAGAAAATTTAAATTATTTTTAAATAATCAAATAACGAAAAAAACATATACAAAGTCAAATGATTTTAGTCATTTGTACATTACTAAGCACAAACCACAAACATCTCAATTTGTAATGACTAGTCGCATGGAAATTTACTTGAGTTCTACTTGAATTCTCATATCAGAATCGTCCATCATAGATCTCGTTGGACGTTTTACCTCCGATGAAAGTCCACTTAAAAGTATAACCACGTCAGACATCGATGGTCTCGCTGAAGCCGTTGAATGTATGCACATCAACGCTATCTCTATGATTTTCTTTGCATCTTCTTTTATATATTCATTTGGATCTAGTGTAACGTCCATGAGATTCAAATGATCGTCGTTTTCATATAGACTCCTTGCCTATTATAGTAAATGATAATGAAAAAAAGTTAAATTCTTAAAAAATGAATGGCTGCACCCTTCATGACTCGTATTCTGTCCAAGTGTGGGATTCGATCTCATACACGTTAGGTTATTGATCATGAGATACCCCAAAACAACAATACAAGCTCATCATACGTGAAAAACAAATCAAATCAAACTCAAGATAAACTAGAGAATTGAGGAAGCATATATATCATGTGCTAATAGCATAACCTTAAGATGCTTACATGATCAACGAGTTTTAGTAACAGAAATTCATTTTGAAGCATGTCATTGGAGCATTTTCCACTAATGATTTCGAGGATGACGACACCAAAGCTGTATACATCAACTTTCTCAGAGCACTGCCCGTTAATTGCGTATTCAGGTGCTATATATCCATTAAACCTGGCAAAAGAATGACAACTACTATTTAGGTTTCACAGTTACTGTACAAAAGGAAAATCCATATATGGGACTGGTAAGAACGTATACAAGGTGCCTGTAACTTTGGCGCTAACTTTGGTGCTGAGATGACTTTTATCTTCTGGCAATAGTTTTAGTAGCCCAAAATCAGAAATTTTCGGTTGAAATTCATCGTCCAACAAAATGTTGCTGGGTTTTATATCGCTATGAATGATTGTGACATGGTACTGATCATGTAGATATGCAAGACCCCTGGCTGTACCATATATTATATCAAACCTTTGTTGCCAATTTAGGGTACCCCGTTTATCACCTAAGGTACAAATTTATTAGTTGATTAATTCAGTGTTCAATTTTCAAATTGGAAGAGTGCATACAATTAATAACTATAAACGTTAAATTAACTCACCATAGAGAAATTTATCAAGGCTACCATTTTCCATGTACTCAAGGACAAGATACATGTGAGATCCTTTACGACAACATCCAAGGAAACGTATGAGATAGCGGTGATGAACATTACTGATAATTTGGATTTCACTATCTAAGTCGGTTTTTCCCCTCTTAGATGCTACGACAATTTTCATTATTGCAACAGTAACTTGATCCTTCATAACACCCTGATTTTGCCATATACAGAAGCAGTTAAAAAGAAATACACCTCGTTAATTATAGCTTCTCATGCAGTAGCTTGATTTTTTTTTTTAAATTGTTGTTGTTCCAAAAAGAAAAATAAAACACCTCGTGCATGTATTACTAATTAATTGGTTAATGTTCACTTCTAGTACGATTCATTCTAACATTTTTATTCAGTGCAGGTATAGCATTTTGTAAGTTTGAGCTAGTCCAAGTGATCATTAGGAATTTCTACCAGGAATCCTAGTCCATTGTTTTGCCTCTATATAATGGGGCATAAAAATATTGTTTAGATCATGTGATTGCTTAATGAAATCACAAAGAGTTTAATATATATCTTGATTAGTGTTGAGAGATTATGTACGTTTATACCAGCGGGTGTGTGGGATCATTTCTATACCGATAGAAATATTCCGTAACCTCTTTTGAACAGAAACAAATATTACCTTATACAACATGTTAAACCCGCCTCCGATTATATTTTCATTCGAAAAGTTATTTGTAGCAATTTTTAAATCTTTGTAGGTATAAGCGGTTGTCCTTTGCAACAAGTCGATTGCTCCAGTTGAGTTATCTAGTAATTTCAGATTGCACATAATTAGTACTGCTAAAAGAACATGAAAAAAAAATAGAGACATGTACTAGCACAAAATTGTCTAATTAAGATCATGTAATACTAACCTTCTCTGAGGTGTTTTGACTTTTTGTATTGACGACGCCAGAAGAAAAATGCAAGGATTAGCAACAGAAATCCTATACCACCAACAATTCCGCCAATAATGGATCTCAAATTTCTTGAATAGCCTGTAAAGTCCATGATCTTTAGATAAGCATTGGCTATATAAAAACAATCTATGGACTTGTGTTTTTAGTTACAATTCTTCTCATGGCCGGTGTGATAAGTATAAGTATATAGAGATCCAACCGCTAAAATTGGAGTGTCAAACTGATATGGACCTAACGATGGTTCATCTCTATTATGGATATGACAAGAAAAATATAACCTTAAAAACAAACATAAAAAAAAAAGTATACTTGTAGAATAATAACTGTCTTACCATTCGTTAAGAAAGATGCGATATCAGTTGTTTGATTGGCTTCAAAAAATGGAATTTCCGAATACCTCATAAAACATCCATCGTCAATCGCCTTTCCTGACGTACTAGGAAGACAATTATCTAATAATCTAAATCTGATCTTTAAACATTCTGCACACATACTCTGGCTTATGTTGCGGCCACATTGTGCAATTGCATACACTGTTTCATTGGTTCCAGTAATTTGCCTTGTGGAAGCAGCAAAGTAACTTGGTATTCTTGGTATTGCGATCCGAAGATCTGAAAGCAACCCACTTGCTGTTTTCTTTTGTTCCTTTGGATGCGAAGATGTAGTATTGCCACATATTGCAATAGTACCAGTTTTCATTATAGCATCATTGTAGAAGTTTTTGTTCTCATACCTGCAGCACCACAAAGTCTTTTAGCGAGACATTTCAACTATTTGAGGAAACCTTAACAAATTTCTAGGAAAACTAAAGTAATTTATATGGAGAAAGGTAAAACCTAATCACCTGAGGTCGCAGTCATCATAGAAAACATGAGCACCATTTCCCATGCCACATACTTTCAAATAAGAAACAGCTGAGTCAAAACAAGATAGACACTCTGCAGTCGAGAGATGTGCCCTGCACAAAGCTTGACCATAGACGGATTCGCCATTAATCACAGTCTTTGAAACGACGTGGTAATTATTGACTCGGGATAACTGCTTTCTGAGGCTAGAAAGGGTGGTGTTGAGGTTTTTAAGAAAAACTTGCCCGTTCATGCCTCGGTAGTAACTACAATACCACCTGATCATTGTGTTATTCCTATCGATCTTCTGTGAAATTACTGGCTGTGCCGTTGATATGAAAAGAACAACCACTACACTCACCATCCACCACCATGACTGCCATTTTGTGTTCAGTTTCATGATATACTCTCTCTTCAGATGTGTTACGAAGCTGGACTCCACTCTTTATTTATAGGAGAAGGTGGGTTAATTCGAAATTTCATAATTCTTTTTTATAGTTTAAATAAGGGAAAAGAGGGCCAGTTATGCATCCTTCTTGAATAAAATAATTTATTCAATATTCATGTTCTCCTTTGCTTAATGAACATGCCATTGCGCCTCTGTACTTCGAATAAATAACAAACATCAACATTCTTCTTCGATAAATAATATACTCATGTCGTCCTGTATTTAATAAATATGCATACTACGACTATATGACACAAAAAAATACTATTAAAACTAAACATAAAATACTGTTTTGTCGTTGGTACTCTTTAACGGTGTTTTCTATACGAATATATAGATCATAGAATGATCATAAAATACTAATACCTTATAAAGATAGATATGCAGTACGCTTCTTAATAGACGATGATATTTCTTCAAGGGTTCTAAGTCTATTAATACTCACTCCTTGATCACCACCCTGCAATGAGAAACGATTCGAAACAGAGCATTACAACTCTCCCCCACTTAAATTAGATTTTGTCCACGAAATCATTCGTTACCATCCTCGGCACGCCAAACAACCTGAGCAACACGGCCACGACCCAGAGCATGCCATAACCTTCCCAAGGCAACTGAAACCAACCCTAGCAGGGCTCTCCAACCCGAACACGAAAGAATCCTCTCACCACCCGACAATAATCCCTTGCAAAATAGCCACAACTACTCAATCTGAAATCTGAAGTCTATATTGGTCTGACTCCCCGACAGACCGCCCAAGCTGAAACATCACCAAACCAAGTCTTCATCGATTAACAGACCGAACACAACACTCCCAACCCTGATCATCTTGATGCTACAAACAGAACAAGGTTACTGACCATAACTAGATGCAGAACACCTATACTTAACAAAAGGCTCAGATAATCCTTTGAGTAGAAGATCCATCCCTACAACGGTTAGATTCAAACGAGAGCTGCGCAACAGGACCAAATCAATTTCTCTAAGATTATTTAATCCCACTGTAAGTGACTTAGCACTTCCGAACAACAAGCTATTCCACCCACACGAATCTCAAATCACTACTACTGTCTGAAACATCACACTGTCTCCTAATTGCTTTCCCAAAAGCACCTGAGACCTCCCTGGTCCCATCTTGTCTACCAATTAGCAAAAAATACCGGACTCCCGCTCGGTTGCTGAGCCAAAATACACTCACACAGTCGCACTACACGACATCCGGAAGAAAACCTCGACTGGCACTAATTTCCCGAACCGTCACGACACCATCCCGATGCTAAACTGAACGCTACAGGACCAACTGTAATCTTAACTCATACCCGGTCTCCCACGACCAACCAGTTCCTGATTCCAAACATGTTGTGGCCCTCCCACGGCCTTGCGAATAGACCCACCTTGACCTAAACCAAGAAATCCTTGAGCAATTCACATATTCGCCACAATCTCACTGTTGTACATGGACCGGTGTATGCTACAGGCCACCCCACAGTCTTACAACACTTCCCACACTAACCGACCGAATGTCACGGGCCACCCCGCAGTCTTACAACGCTACCGCACTAACTACTAACTAGTGAATGCTACGGGCAACCCCGTACTCTTACAACACTTGCACCTTGCCACAACCGTCGCCCGAAGCCTTACTGCTAGTCTATCAATTCGAACACATCTAGAGTCGAGCAAGCGCTCGACCAAAACACCCATGCTGAAATCGACTCATGACTGGAACCCCAACCCTGGTTCCCAAAGCCTGCTATCAAACACCAAGAAAACACGAACCCAAAGTCGGGAAGTTTCCCGAACTCCCAACTCACACAATCCTCGATCTAGACAGCCACTTGGGCCGCCTTCCTCTACGACAGGGATGCGAAACTTGTTCTAGTTTGACAACTACTTCTGCTCTTGAGTACCTGAACGATTCTCCCCCACTTTGATTTGACTAAGTTCTTACAGCACACAAGAATTGGAGGATTCCCAATCCTTTTTACCCTCTAATGATCGATTTGCAGACAACTGACGTTTACCAATGGTAGTGTTCCATCACTACCCATCCCAAAAGAGCGTATAACCCCTAAAGACAAGCTGAAAATCTCCCGGATCCCAGAAATACTGATAATCCCAGATGTTTAAAATGATATCCCACTCAAAACTTGAAGTCCAAAGTACGGATGCTCCAACCAAAACCACAGCAACAAACCATTTCCCTTGGCACTCCTAGTGGCCAACCAAGTACAAAATCTAAAACCACGGAACCCTGACGATACTGGAGAACTAACCCGCTGAACCTGACCATAGACCTTCCATACAATACTTGTGAATCGATCTCGACCAAGAACCAGAATAAAAAAACTAACACACTGAAACCCGCTCGACAAGATGCAACCCCTTCTGACCCACTAAAGATTCATGGCATGCAAATGGCATGTAACAATTCTTGAAAATATAATCCAAACACAAGCAGAGAATTGAATCCAAAGACACGCTTACCCAAACCGATGCAAAATTTCCAAGCAATATAAATTATGATAATAACCAAGAAGAAAGCAACAGATAACATACCCGCAATATCGCCTGAAGAAACCCTGACTCCCTCTTCCTGTCGAAGAACCTGCAATGGAACCTAAGCAACCCCAACCACCAAGCGGGGCAATTCGCTCGTATATGAACAGGCTGATGAAAACGATGGCACAACTCTACCTCCAATGTGCATTCTTGGCAGAGGTGGCACTTCCATCCACACCTGTCGTACTTAGACCTATTGCGCACATCCTCATGGGTCCCTGCATTCTTCGTGCAACCACCCTGGCCCCTCGGGCTCTAACACTAGCTACGACAACATCCAACTGCTCAGATTGTCGAGCATGTCCATGAGTCCGCTTTCTCTTCCCCAGCTGCCTATCCAAACCAATCTCCTGCTCCCGGGTCACCCCGACAAACCCATCATCCGCATGAACAGTCGAGGTCCGACCCTCGAACCTGGCGACCAATTTATCAGTGACACGCCCAATGATGTCGGGTAACTCCTCGCGTAGGGCTCGAGAAACCTCCGCGGCAATCCAATAATGTGGTCGAATTTCCTGAAGACATGGATCATAACCCACCTTCGATCCCAAATGACAAAAGCAGACAACAGGATCCTCCTTCCTGAAGGATCTTGTAGATCTACAAGCTTTGGGCTCCAAATGAGCCCCCAATTGTCTTGATACGACCTCGTCCCAAAAGGCCCTGAGACGACTATCCAATAGCTCCAAAATTCAATCCTTGACTGAACCAAAGATCACAGGAGTCTGCTCCAACATACCATGGGTAATCTCCAATGAGATGAACTCCCACATCTGCTCGCTAATCGGCTCAGTACCAACACTTGAGCCGCAACCAGAACCTGAACCTCCTCCCTGAGTGCTCATCACCAAACTGAAATACAACATGAAATGATCAGATCATACCCAAGAATCCTCCTCCCACAAGCTTCGTAGATTCTCCAAGACTCTCCCCGATTCGAGTATGGAACATGTGCTTTCAGTAGTATGGGCCTAATACTACCTTCCATACCTATCCATGCTTTCCTCAAGAATCCTACCGAATCCTCTAAGTCACCTTCTCAAATCCATACAACAGAAACTCACAACCCAGCGCAAGAAAACCCACGGAAGCAATCCCTGGGCTTTTCTAGGTTGCCGACCTTACCCTACCCTCAATTGCTGAGAGACTCTACCCAATGTCGACCAACTACCTTATGAATATAGTCACATGCAACAGAGATCAGATAATCCTTCGAGTAAAAGACTCAACCCTACAACGGTTGGACTCAAACGAGAGCTGCGCAATAGGGTCAAATCCATCACTCTTAGATTATTTAACCTGTGTCGCATATGACTTAACATATTCACTTAGTAGTTGATCCACATCATTAAGAATCCCAGAAAGTACAAAGCATGCAACACTCAGACAACGGACAATCTAACCAACATACACTAATCAAGCGTTTATATCCACTGATCTAAAAGCTCATACAATCAGGCATATAAAGGAATCTATCCTATCATATAATACTGATCATATCCTTAGCCCTAATCTAGCATGCAATTCACAAACTCATATCATATAACATAATAAACATGTATTGGTATTCTGGGAACCAATTACTTGAGCTCGGCCGATTGCACACATCACACCCCTTTCTTTGATTTGAAATTCCTTTTTAATTAACTGTTCATTTTATAAAAAATTTCACCAAACCCACAGTTTGAGTCCAGGCACACCCGAAGGTATGCTTGAATCCCTCAAACCAATACTCTGATACCAACTTGTAACATCCCAAAAACCAAGGGTAAAAAGTTTATTTTTATCATAACCAAAACATTAAGGTACTTTTAACCAAACATTTAAAAGCATTTCAAAATAAAACAATTATCAGAGTTCATTCCCAAAATCACATATTGCGGAAAACATCAGTGTATGCGCTACGATGAAGCCAATCCCTTCCCTTTCGAACCAAAAGTACCTGAAACCATAAACTGCAAACTGTAAGCACGAAGCTTAGTGAGTTCCCCAAATACCACATACCAGACATAAATTAAACATATAGTGGGCCCCGCCCTGTCATCGGACCCCGCCCAGCATTTGATCCCGTCCAGCATATATATAACATATATCAAATAAACACATACACATGCAATAATCACATAGATACATAGCATACAAATAGTCATCGGGAGCCGCCCGACATCGGGCCTTAGCCCGGAAAGTATATAATCACATACACATGCAAGAGTCACGAAGACAGCTAACACACTAACATAACATAAACATGGGCCGGCATTGGTGTCATTGACCCACTAAACCCAGTGAGGAAACTCACCTCGAGAACTGAACCCACGAATAAATCTCTGACTGCAGATCCGCTAGAATTCTCGCGCTATCAAACAAACAACACCCAATTAACAACTGGG